CTGCCTCCCTAACCTGTTCTTCCTCCCACCTATCCCCTCCTCCCACCCCAAGCCGCACCTCCATCTCCTACCGACCAACCTCATCCCGCCCCCTTGACCTGTCCGTCCTCCCTGGACTGACCTATCCCCTTCCCAACTCCCTACCTACACTCACCTTTCCTGGCCCCATCCCCGCCTCTTCGACCTGTTTGTTTCCTCTCCACCTATCCTCTCCTCTATCCCTCTTCTATCCGCCTCCCACTCTCTCCCTATTTATTTCAAAACCCCCTTCCCCTCCCCCTTTTCTGATGAAGGGTCTAGGCCCGAAACGTCAGCCTCTCTGCTCCTATGATGCTGCTTGGCCTGCTGTGTTCATCCAGCCCTGCACCTTGTTGACTTTAATGGTTTGAATAGGTCGAAACAAAACTTAACACTTGAAATTCTGAATTTCATTAGTATTTATAGGTATATGGCAAAAGTGAATTTTCACATCTCCAGGTTTGCTTTGCCTCTGAAGTATTTGGGCTTTCTCCCTGAAAAACTAGGGTTGAATTTAACATGGGATATATGAAAATTAAATCTTTTTGGCCAAAAAATGGGGTCAGCCTTTACACAAGATCAACTTTTGCACACATATATATATATAGCATTTCTAAATCAAACAAATTATTTTGTCAACCTGCGTATAGAATAGATGCAGGAACTTGTCATGCATTTGTTGTAAGTGGGGACTGGAGATCCCATAATTTGTGGGCTGGATACATCCATTTATACTGTGTATGTAATTATGTTTTATTCTGCTGGTAACTTGCTGTCATCTGTCGTTTGCTCATCAACCTAAGAGGTAGTTAGGAAGCAGTTACAAGACAGCGGATGATAGTTGATTATTGAATTGGTGTCTTTGTAAGTGTCATTGACAAGGTCTAAGGTATTGCAGATAAGGTAGAGTAGAAGTTCTGCTTGATTGCCTTTTGGAGACTGAACAAGCCTTGGGGAATCTTTCATTGGGAGATTTTAAGTGCGAAGCATAATCAGCCTATAACAGATTGTCAGCAGAAGGGACAAGCTGAACAGTTTTACTTGATGTTGCCCCTTTCTTAAGATATAGTGTAGTAGCAAGAATGAGACATGGCTTACACTTGGGTACATCCATTGGGTTCAAACTTCCTAGCAGATCCCGCACATAGAGTCCATCTCCTTCCTCTTTACTAAGCCACTGGTTACAAGGGAAATAAAAACGGAGGTGGGGGCGGTTCATGTCAGTGATCACGAGCCGATCCAAGAACCAACTGGCACTCATTCCTGTGTTGTCATGTTCAATCCTAATACATGGCAAAGGGGCAAAGCATTACAGACAGGTAGTTGAGTAAGAAAAACTAGAGGAAATTATCGCCAATGACAGACTACATGGTTACATTTAGGTTGGTAACAATTTTTGTCTGCAATCTTTCTCTGCCAATTCACTTTCCCAAGCTTAATTTTGCACTTTGAGCATACGGTCTTATCATCGGTTCCTTGCTGGGCTCCAGTCCCATAAATGTTTCTTACCTCCTGAAATTTTGCCTGATTGTATCTTCAGCTGACCTCCACATTTGTGCTCTTCCAATCAGAATTCCTTATTAACCTTCAGACTAGGAATCATCCACAAATCCTCGCTTTCTGTACTGAGATATTCAAGTAAAAGACCAAATCCCATAGACCAGGATCTTGAACATAGAGTGATTCGAAGAGGAACTGAGAAAGGAGCAGGAGGAGGTCAATTGTCCCTTTGAATCTGTTCCACCATTCAACCCAAAGATAACTGAACATCTAACCCTAAGCCATTTTTCCCATTATCCACATATCTCCTTGTTGTCATTAGTAACCAGAAATCCAACAATTCAAGTCCTACTCCGGTGCCTTCATTTAAGAGTATAGAAAAAAGAGGTGGATTATAGGCTATTGGGCTCCTCCTTTGGGGAGGCGATGGCCTAGTAGTATTATCCTCAGACTATTAACCCAGAAACTCAGCTAACTCTCTGGGGAGCCAGGTTTGAATCCCACATGGCTGATGGTGGAATGTGAATTCAATTTAAAAAAAATATGAAATTAAGAATCTACATTGTCAATTGTCAGAAAAACCTATCTGGTTCACTAATATCCTTCAGGGAATGAAATCTGCTATCCTCACCTGGTCTGGCCTACATGTAACTCCAGACCAACAGCAATGTGCTTTACTCTCAACTGCCCTCTGAAATGACCTAGCAAGCAGTTCCAGGGCAGTTAGGGATGGGTAATATGGGCTGGCCAGTCATTGATGCCCACATCCTACATGTCAGTAAAAGAAAACGCCTGCTTAGCCTTTCGATGATATCATTGGCTGATCTGATTGTAGCCTTAACTCCACTTTTGTGCTTGTCCCCTTAACCTTTGACCCTTTTATAAATCAAAAATCTGCCTTAACTCAGCCTTAAATATACTCAATTAACAAGCCTTCAATGCTCACCGGGGGTGAGTGATAGAATTCCAAACACCAACAACACTAACTCTGTAAGAAGAAATTCCTTTTCATCTTCATTTTAACAGTGGCGCAGTGGCTCAGTGGTTAGCACTGCTGCCTCACAGTGCCAGGGACCCAGATTTGATTCCAGCCTCAGGCAACTGTCTGTGGAGTTTGCACGTTTTCCCTGTGTCTGTGTGGGTTTCCTCCAGGTACTTGGGTTTTCTCCCACAATTCAAATGTTGTGCAGGTTTGGAGGATTGGCCATGCTAAATTATCCCATAGTGTCCAGGGGCGTGCAATCTAGGTGGGTTAGCCATGGGAAATGCAAAGTTATAGGGATAGGATGGGTCTGGGAGGGATGCTCTTTGGAGGGTCAGTGTGGACTCGATGGGTCAAATGACCCGCTTCCACACTGAAGGGATTCTATGGGAGACCCATTATTTTAAAACTGTGTACACTAGTTCTAAATTTCCCAATGAGTGGAAACATCCTGTTAGCATCTTCTTTGTCAAATCTCCTCAGAATCATATATTTCAAGAAGATTATCTCTCTCTCGGAATCATAGAATCAAAAAGCACAGATGAGGCCCTTCAGCCCATCAAGTCTGTACTGCCAAAAATATACTATTACTTATACTAGTCCCAATTTCCAGCACTAAGCTCAAGTCATGAATGCTATGATACTTCAAGTGCTTATCTAAACAATTCTTCAAGGCTGTGAGGCTTAAACCCCACTCCCTCCCATCAATTACCCTCCCAGACAGTGCTTTCCAGACCACCACCACCCTTTGCATGAAATTTTGTTCTCTTAAATCCCTTCTAAGCCTTCTGCCTTTCACTTTAAGACATGCCCCCTTGTTATTGACCCTTCGACTACGGGGATCAGCTGCTTTCTAGTCATGCCGTCCATGCCTCTCATAATCTCAGATACCTCCATCAGGTTCCACCTCAACCTTCTCTTCTCCAATGAAAACAACCTGAGCTTATCCAGCCTCTTCATTGCTGAAATGCTCCATCCCAGGCAACATCCTAATGAGTCTCTTATACATCCCCTCAAGTGCAATCACAGCCTTCCTGTAGTGTGGTGACCAGAAAGCTGTGGCCTAATCACAGCTTCAGCATAATTTCCCTGCTGTCATAATCTATGCCTTGACTGATAAAAGCAAGTGTAATTCTTCTAAACTCTAACGAGCATAGGCCCAAACTGTTCAATCTTTCTTTATAAATTTACCCCTTCATCCTAGAATGCAGTACTGCAGGAGTACCGTGAACTAAAAGGTGTGACTTTTTGCCTTTCAGATAGATGTAAATGATAGCACAACACTTTTTTAGGAAGAGCAGGAAAGTCTTAGCTCCTTGTTGTCGTTTATCCCTTAACCAACACCAGCAGAAACAGATTATCTAATTGTTCGTCTTTGTTTGTGGGAGTTTGCAGGATGCAAATTGGCTGCCACATTTCTCTATATTATCGCACGGACTACACTTCAAAGTGCTTCAGTGCTTGTAAAACAGGTTCCTTTCCATTTTAATTCTCTCTTTCATTGGCACTTTTTTTCTACAGAACCATTTAATAATGTGATGACTATTTCTCCCACTTGATGTCCACACACAAGACACTTGCCAGGAAATTGCAAACAGCAGTGGAACAACTAATGCACTTTTCCTTTCCTAATCAAGGAATACAACTTCCATATTTAACATTTGATTTGCTGTCCTGACAAGTGACAAATAACCAAGTACAGACCAAGAATTTAACTTTAGACATTTTGCAATGTTATAACAGACTCTCTACAGAGTTTCCTCCCACAGTCCAGAGATGTGCAGGCTGGGTGGATTGGCATTGCCTGTAGTGTTCAGGGATGTGTAGATTAGGTAGGTTATAGGGGGAATAGGTCTGGGTGGGATGCTCTGAGGATTGGTGTGGACTTGTTGGGCCGAAGGGCCTGTTTCCACACTGTAGGGATTCTATGATGATTTTACAATGAGACGCTCTTGTTGGAGGCAGTGCCCAGAGAATGGCTTCTAGGCCTGGAGCCTGGTCACTTGGAAGTGGCACTGCCTGGAGCAGGAACTCCTGGTGGCTGTAGACTGGAGGCTGGACTCTTGGTAGTGGCAGAGCATGGAGCGGGGACTCCTGGGGCAGTAGGCCTGGAGCCTGGACTCAGTAGTTGCAGTGCTTGGAGCAGGAACTCCTGGCGGCTGGAGGCTGGACTGTTAGTGGTTTCTGGCGAGATAGCAGCGGCAGCAGACCCGGGGTCTCCTGGGGCATCGGCATTGTCAGTACTGTTCCCGGAATGGGACTCCTTGAGGACCGGAACAACTTTCAGAGATTTGGCAGAAGCCCTGAGGCCGTGCTCAATACCCCAATTTGGACAGAAAGTGAACTCTTATTTAAATAATTTCTATTTATCCTTATTTTACCTCAAAACTGTGTTGACAAAACACTTTTGATTGTAGCTTCAAGATACATGTGACAATAAATAAATTATTCATTCATGCATTCAGACAGTGCCTTCGGTTTCTTAAATGATAGGGAAACTTAAAAGATCATACCTCTGAAATAATATGCCAGACAGACTAGAATGGTGCTAGGTTAGTTGTTGATTTGTATTCAGAAGCAGCATTGTTATAGAAGTTACTACTGACCATATCCCTCCTGAATTCATAGAAGCAAATTAACCTTGGTTCCCATTTGTATTAGTGACCTTGTGTGCGAGCATGTTGTTGAGATTAAATTACTTGTAATAGCATCATGATCGAGTAGTCTATTAATATTCACTATCAAGTCCTACACACCAATAATGGTCTCATAGGGAAAAGATTACAGATTGAATGGTACTAGTGCACTCCAACAAGAGCTCAATGTCTTCTGGAGAGAAGATGTTTTGCCAGAAGAAAAAAATGAATAGAAAATAATAAGCAGAGACATGAAAATACCTTATTTTCTTTATTGGCCCCACATTGTTGGTCTTGATCCTGAAAACATCGGTTTTGTTTTTCTCAAAGGCTGTTCTACTTCTGCAATGCACACATTATGCAAAATGTTTTAATAGAAATTTACGTGCCAAAAGTGAACTTTGATATCAGTTTGTTGGAACCAGCAGGCAAACTTGAGAAGACATGCATTTTTTAAAACCAAATGTGGATGCAATTTTTGGCTGTATTCCACGTTATCACCAAAAATATTGCATTCACTAAAACAAAGCTTATAAAGGTATTTGTCAAAATAACTAAAACAATTTTTTTAGATATTCATGCAAATACAATATAAAAAGTCATATTTATCTTTTCAATCTTGAGATGGACCCGTCAACAACTTGTAGTCCTTTTCAAACATAATATTTCAAAATTAATTAAAGTCAAAGTTGATAACCAATGATACTGCAAAAATGGCTGCTGCTAATATGAGTGGATGAAACTGAATGTGTTTGCATGATATTCCCTACAGGGTAGGCTTATACCTTTGTGAAAATTAAGAGACAGAGCAATGTTATGCCAAGGCATTTAGCATTCATCTGCCAATGTGATCAACAGTAACTTCTGAGTTAAGTGCCCTTTCTGAGGAGATTTAACTTCCAGTATCCCAATTTACAACTTTTATATGGTTTCAAATTACATGGTAGATTTCTGCATGGTAGATGAAAAGGTATTTTCATCTTTTAAGAATTTAATTTCCTCCTTGCTATTTCTGAGCACATAAATACTTTTAAAAAGGTTGGTGGAATGTTTTAAAGCATAATCCACCTGGACTTCCAAAACTTTGTATAATTCCAGATGGAAGATTATCACACTAGAAAAGTGCAATTTTTTGGTAAAAGCAGTGGTTAATGAATGGGCTAAAATAAAGCATGAAACAACTGTTAGTGAGAGAAATGATGTTGCAATGTGGAAAGACACTGAATGGAATGTTCCATTTAACAATGCTGGATGTCATGCTCACAAGACCTGATGTGAGATCTTAAATTATTTTAAAAATCGTACTTCCTTGTTTATTTCGAAATGGACTTTGCTGGACCAAATATGGGTGCTATCAGTCACATGATTTTTGTGAGTATGTTACAATTCTAGAAGACATCCCCCAGTATAATTATAAAGGACAAAGCTAAAACCAGCATCCTCCTGGAATCTCACACACACTCCAATGTGTGGACACTGAAGTCAAACTAATGCTAAAGTATGATAGTATAATAGAGGTTGCGTCTCCCTGTTAGGGATTGAGAACAAAAGGGAATTATTGAAAATCATTATGCCCAAAGTGGTACTAATGGTCCATCATCCATGTCATACAATAAGTAACTGATTTGGACCAGGGCCACAGAAGCCTAACCTTGTTATGCTTGCAGAGGTGCTAATAATTCTACTTATACTTACAGTGAATACTGAATCCCTGGCCAGAGATATGTAAACCAACTGCTAAACTGAAACTGTCTGCTGAATGGACCAATCACATGACCAAAACTCTTCTGATCTTTGAAGTAGCTTTAATAATACATTTCTGAACCCTTGCCTCAGTGAGGTTAAAAACAGCTAGTCTACTGTTGATATTGTAGTCTTGTAAAAATCTAACTAATTGTTTTGCAGCACAGAAGTTAAACATTGATAAAGAGACAGACACAAGAAACTTACTTGTAAAAAGGGTGACCAATTTATGCAGCATGAGAAGTGGGTTTTGATTGTTTGGGCCATTGTCGGCGTGGGTATGTTACAAGAACGGATAGCTGTTAACTTTAACTCTCACACCAGGTAGGAAAACAAACTTCTTTTAGCAATGTTTAAGAATCTAACTGGTAATTCCACAACCAGAGTCCAGGCTTGGCTAAGCTTGCCTACAGGCCAAATCTTCTTCAAAACTTTGTTCTGGAATAAAACTTGTATTCATCTCAAAAGTGAAAAAAGTCTGCACTCCAACAATATCTTGCTGGGCCTTGATCAACTTTAAAAGGGATTCTGCAACTTCATTCAATTTCACCCACTTGAATAAAAACTCCTTTGGAAAAGAACCTTCACTGGATACCAACCTTCTGTACCCAAACAAAAATCATGCAAATTAATGTCCTTTTTCTTCAGTTACTCTTTCTGAAAACACTTTCCTTTTATTCCCCTTCCTTGTATGCTTGTAAGAGTCTGTGTGTTGTGACTATCATCCCTTGGTTTTGAATCGTGAATAAACTATTTTGACTTAAATGAAAAGACAGCATGTTATTGGTCATTTTAAAACGGTGTTTCACAAGTGAAATGCTCAGTGAAACTCTTTTTAAGAAAGTAAGTGAAAAAAGTAATAAAAATTATAAAAACAACTCTGCTTACAGATGTAAAATGAAAATAATAAAATAACTAAATTTATCTCTCTTTCCTGTCTGTAACACTAAAACACGTCTGATCAATAAATATACACAACAGAAGTTGGTGTGATTTGCAAATACCACTAAATTTGTTGGGGAGGGGGGAGTTGGTGACTGAAGAGACATGGGCGGGGCGTCATTGACAGAGGCTTGGGGGAGGAGTGAGGTTGAAGATCTGCACGTAGATCTACACAATATTTGTAATAAGACAGAACAATGGATAGCACAATGCTCTCTGTGTGTTTAATGTTCTAGATAGAACTTGCTGTAATTATAAAGCTGACACAGACACAAAGAGCTGAATGGCCTCCTCTGTGATTCTGATGAAGCCACAAGAAAAATAAGTGGACAAAGTTGATTGATAGTTCAACAAGCCTCGATTAAGAGGAAATGTTAGCAAAATTAACAGTTTCAATCAGGGAAGCTTATACAAGTATTCAAAAAAATTAAATGGAAATGGAAAGGGGTTAATCCTGAATACAATTTGAAGTTAAACTATCCCTCCAGGAATGTCTGTTACCGAAGGAAGGCTAATTGATAATAAGCATCATTAATTGAAAATTGTCGAAAGGGTGAGGAAAAAATATTAATGACAATCCATAATTACAGAAAGTTGTTTGAACTTTTATAGAGATTAACTGATTCAGTGACCAGTGAATACCTTAAGCCAGTGCTCCCCAAACTGTTTCCCACTATGACCCTGTTTTTAGACTTGAAAATGGACACAACACCTCAGGAGGATTGGCTAGCTAACAGGAAGCAGACAGTAGGGACAAATAGCATTTTTTTGTGCTGGCAGAATGTCACAAGTGGTATGCCACAAGATCAGTGCTGTGGCATCTTCTATCCATGGCAATGTGTTACCCCCTACACCACTTTACACAGTAACCTTTGATGTGGCACCTTATCAAATGCCTTCCAGGAATCTAAGTACAATACATCCACTAGTTCCTCTTTATCCACAACATAAGACTATATCCTACATTCTCATCTATTACCCTGATCTACTTATGTAAGCTATGTTTCCTTTGGTTAACACACAAAACAATACTTTTCACTGTATCTCAATATATGTGACAATAATAAATCAAATCAAAAAAACAAGTTAGTTCTTCAAAGAACTCCAATAAATTCCTTTCCACAAAACCGTGTTGGTGGTGCCTGATTACCTTGTACTTAGAGGCCTGTTATGCTGTCTTTAATAATAGCTTCTAACATTTTCCCTTTGACAGACACCTAACAATGGGTTTGTGAAATACTTTGTGTAATGCACCAAGCTCTCCTATGTCAGGTAAAGCATAGGTTAGCTCCTTCTACATTGCTCCCAAAATAGGCTTCAACTGCAACCTCAAAGCAACATGCACTTGTTTGACATGTTATTTTCCCCAATACAGGCAATCATAATTTAACTTAACAAGAAACATTTAAATATATATGAATGATGAGCTTTATTTAATAATTATACAATTTTGTTTCTATATCTTATTATTCATATAGTTTTTTTTTCAATTCATCATATGAATGTACATTCTCACTGTCGCTTTATATAATAAAATCAATTGGTCATCTTTCTCTTCTATAGCTACATGGATAATTATCATCGTGCCAATGTTTTTTGAAATGACCGACCATCTGTAATACTTTCACCATTATCCAAGTGTGAATTTAAACTGAAAACAACATTAAAATAACAAACCAGGCTCCAGCAGGAGAATTTGCCCGTAATACTTACGTGTATGGATTATGTACCTACTTGTTATTTTTAGAATAGGGAGCAAGTTGTTTATCAATTGAACACTTAAAAAAAAGATACATGATATTCCATCCCATTTATTATGATGTGTACTTCCTTGATCCAATAGCCAGTTTTACAGAATGCCTGAAGTGCACACATGATAAATTGGTCTAAAATTTCATGTATTCTTTTTCCTCCAAGTTGCTGAAGAAAAAGAAAACAGCAGCCGCCAGCAACAAGCGAAGAAACAGTTGAAGATTCATGATATTTCATCGTCTTTATCAGATTTGGTAAATCTTAGATAGCCCAGTTCATCTTCAGTCTCCAAATTCCTACATTCAAAGGTTAGCCAAATCCTGATAAATCCGTCTGAAATCTCATGCATTTTCTCAATCCCAAAATCTGGACATTCTGAGAGAAAAAAAAGGGCAACAAAGGATTAATGTTAGCTCCTTAAATGTTGGTACATTATTTTCTACCCTCTTATCATGGCTTTCTGTGTTTTCAATGACAAATCAGAACCTTTTTGAAAGATGGCTAAACATTGCAATGAGAGTGGGTGTGGGGGTTGTAGAAAAATCACTTGGACAGCAAATTCGCAGCAGCATTGAAGCTTATTTTCATGACCTAAACCATAAATTGTGTCTTAACAGTATCCAGATTTTCAGATAATCAGTTGTCTTTGAGTCAAATAGAAGTAAGCCTGATTTGACAATGTGATTTGCTATACCAGATTATCATCTAAGCACTGAAAATTAAAATTTTGAGACTTCAGGGCTCAAAGCTAATAAAATGGCGCAGTAAATGCATTGAACATGAAGGCAAGATTAGTTATACTCTTTTGTTCAAGGTTTATAGTCACTATATCCTACCTGAAAAGAAAACAGCAACGTATGTATTTGGTAGTTGCCAAAAGGAGGTTTATTTCTTCAGCTATATAT